TAAAAGTCACAAATGTAGTAATGTAGGACATAGCAATAGGAGAAGATAAGTATAAGAAAACAAAAATATTCGAGGCTATAAGTCACATATATCTATCGTGGGAGCACGTGGACAGGCGTATGATGAAACATGGCATAGGATAAAGTCAGGTAAGGGGTGGGTGAATAAGTAGTAGTAGTAAGTAGTAATAGTAGTAGGTGTTTCGACATTAGACAGGCTTTGTAGACGGGGTATGTGCAGTGAGCAGTGGGTAAGTCATGTGCGTAATGGTGAGCGATATAAGATAGTAAGTGGTCAGGGGGCTAGCCCATGCGCTTTCTCTCGTTTATTTGGTGGTACGTTCGTCGTGTCGGGGAAAGGTCGCGAGTAGGACTAATTATAGGATCACGCAGGGTCCCTTACGCCGGGTCTGGCGCTTTTTGTCCTTTCGACGGTCCTGCCGATTGCCACCTTCCCGTTTGCGATCCGAGTCGGAGCCCTTGGAGTTTCCTTGCAAGTCCTTTCGGATGATCTGTCGGCAGAGGTCAATGAAGACTTCGTTAACGTTGGCTCGTCGACGGGCCGACGTTTCGTAGTAAGGAGCGTTTCCCCAGGTTTGGGAGAGGGCGAAGGCGCGCGCGCGTGGCACGGCGCGGTCCTCTTCCAGGTCGGATTTGTTGCCCACAATGACGATGGGAACTTTCTCATCCTCCTTGATGCGGATTATTTGTTCGCGGAGCTCGGACAACTCGTTCAGCGAGGACATGCTTGTAATCGAGAATACGAGCAGAAACCCTTGGCCTTGTTTCATGTACAACTCTCTGGAATGCGATCCAACGTCAGCAGGGGGCCCGAAATGGCAACGGTTGGTAACGTCCCGTATAAGTGGGCGGGGGGGTAGGGGATCCAGGGTGGGCGCATTGTTTACCTCATGGCCGCTAAGAAGGTGTTAGTATTAGAGAAATTGAATGCGACCGTGTCCACGGAGACTTACTGAACTGTTCTGTTCCTGCAGTGTCCAGTCTGGATACAACAGTCAGCTATCTCCATTACCCGTAGTGATGTAACTGCGCTATGGAATAAATGCGCTGCGCACAACACATACATTTCCAGAATACATTGCCGGCCCTAGAAATGTCAGTGACTATCTCCAGACAAGGACGAAGCCAAACTCACATCCACGTCGATCTGCTTCCGGTATGAATCCTCGATTGTCGGGTCATAACTCTCAATCCAGACATTTTGCACGAATTGAGCTACCCAGCATCAGCGACCATGACAGAGAACCCGACAAGTATATGCGACCAGGAGCATACCAGTAAGACAGCTCTTTCCCACACCTCCTATTGCGCCGACAACGACCGATGGTCAGTGGTGATCCTTTCTCATAGTCTGTCACAGAAGTATGTACCCACCAGCACCTAAAACGACGATATGGTATTCCCGTCTATGATAAAGCCAGTATGTTAGCGACTGCGGCGACCTCCGATCGGTTGTTTGTAGTGGAATAGAAAGTCCGGGGCGGAGCTTACTGGGGCCGCATTGGAACGGTAGCCGCGTATTCGGCGATTGAAAGAGTATGATTCGATGCGAAAATGAAAGAGTCGACTCCGATAGGCTTCCGGTAATTCTAAGCCAACAATTATATTGTCTGATCCTGGGGCGGAATCAGTGGTCGAAGCTGGAACGTAGACTAAACCCGATCCGAATGCTGCGACAGATGAGGGCTGAGTCTCGGTGAGGGTATCGAGTGGACGGTGGATTCAGGTTCAATGCGCGCCGATAATTTGAACTGAATTAAGCAGATTGGGGAATGGGGGGGTGGGAGGAGGGAAGGAGGTGGACTGGACTCCCTTTGAGGGGGGTGGGCGGGGAGGAAGTGCTGGGAGAGCAAGGGCAGCAACACGCGATCCGTTACATCGGTCTCAATGCCAATCAATTCCCGACCAATTCCCCGGGAGCTGGCAGAATGGAAGCGCCAGAAGAAGGGACGGTCTGAAGCAAGGCCGCGGGAGTGGAGGTGGAGAGCAGAGGAGAGGAGGGAAGGTAGGGAAGGATAGCTGCTGTTGAACAGATCGGTCGGTGACTTTCGGGGGTAGAGAAAAGACACTAGTAGTTTACTAAAGGAAGAGAGAGAGGATGAGTGAGTGAGTGAGTTGAGTGAGAGCCAGACAAGCAGAGCAGAGCAGAGCAGTAGCAGTAGCAGAGGAGCAGTAGGCAGAGGCTAAGTCAGCGAACACGGACTGGTTCGGTTTGTGGGGAGGACAGGAAAAGGATCGGTAAGTTCCATTGAAGAAGAGCGCAACAGAGAAGAACGTCGAATTTGGCTTACCGACAAAGCACAGCAGATGACGATATGATGCAATAACGGCCTAACGGAGAGACGATCGAATCAATTGCTGTTTCTGAAATATTTTCTTTTCTCGGTTTCGTCTTTTTCCTAATCCCTGAAGACCCCCGTTGAAGAACTGCACGAGAGGGAAAAGCAAAAAAAAAGTCAAAAAAAAAGTAAAGGCACGGCAGGGACTCTCTTCCCAAATTGCGGCGGTGAGCCTCGAATCGAACGGCGATTTGTTGTGCGGCCGACTCTGGATTAAACCTTAAGCCCCTAGTACAGTCGAGGTTAGTTAGCAGCTTGATGGCTTGGGTCCCGATGATCCAGAACGAAAAGAAACAAGTAGATAGTAGAGCAAGAGCAAGGTGCTGTGGTGTTATAAGCTAGAGAGGAAAGTAGTTGACCTCCATCTTGACGGGCATCACTTTCGAGGGCAGAGAATGAGAAAGAGAAAAGAGAGATAGATAGAAGGGAGGGGGGCAGAAAGAGAAACAACAACACCATCATTCGATTTCTCGAGTCTGAGATCAGATCGTATCAGCCTCTCTCTCCCTCCTTCTTTCTCTCCCTCTCTCATTCTCAATTCTCTTTCCATCAATTCCCTGCTCCTTCGCCCCCCCTCCGTCCTTCTACCTCCGAATCGGCAGGAAACCGTAGAGGGTAGCAACTGATCACAGCGGATGGGGGCAGAAAGCCCAGCGCATCCATCCATCCATCCATCCTCCCTCAAGAAGGGGGCGGGCGCGGCATGGCTTGGCCAATAATTGAATCTCGCTCCCTCCCTTATCCCCTGATCCGGTGGATTATTCTTGTTCTTCTTCTTCTCATACAGTAGTCATCTCTCTTTGTCGCCCCCGAGATCTGCAGCCCTGATGAGCTCAGCAGAGCCTCGCAGATGAGAAGAATGTGGCATGTTTGAAGGAGTGGGAAGAGAGGGAGGTGTGTGGATTGATAGAATTGGAAGAGTGGGTGTGGGTTAGAGGAAAGGATGATTTATTGATTGAGTGATGGAGAATGATGGGGATGACAGGATGGATGATGGAAGCTGAAACTGGATTATTCCCTCTTACCTTACCTTGAATTCTTCAGCGCCAACACACACTCTTACCCTCACACTCAGCTTCACATGCACTCAGCCGGGCTCCAATTGCTACTAGATACCTAGCAATGTCTCAGAAACAGGGAACCGGGGGAATTCATCAAGGCTAGTTAACCGCTGCAAGGACGAGAAAGAAAAAATGAAATAAAGCAGATAGATAGTAGATAGACGCCGGACAGGCAGGACAGGCCATGGCGACTACTGATCAATAAATATTAACTGCGTGGATGTGCTACTATCTAACTAGAAACTAGCAATAGTACTACAGAGTACACCATCTCTCTCTCTCTGTTGTGAGTCTCTGTATCTACAAGGAGAGACCTCATGAACATCTCACAAAAGTCCCAAAACCCACATCCGTCTTGCCCCGAGGACAAGCATAATGATCGATCTTCTTCTTCCCCTCTCATGGCAATAATATCTCTCTCTCCATCATCATCATTATCACAAAAACAAACTCTCCCCCTTCCCATACGATGCCACCATACGATGCCATGCAGGTTATTCATCTAAGCCCCAAAAATTACCTGTCAGCAGCAGACCCAAGCCAATAACCAGACATCCCCTTCCTAAAAGTCAAAAAGGAAAAGAAGGAGAAGAAGGACAAGAAAAAAAAAAAACAAAAGGACATCGGGATGTGCCCGATTCCAGGAACCGGAAGCAGATTCCGACGCCAACTCCAGGGACGGAATCACCCCCGAAACTAAGCGGGAGGCACCATCGCTGCTCATCAGCACTAGAACTTAGGATCACTTGGTAGTTGGTAGACTCGATTGTTAAGTCCTGAAAGATAAAAAGTACGGACCACCGCACCGGACTTCCGGTCCCCAACTTCCGGAAGACAGGCTGTCTGTGTGCCTATCATTTAATTTATTATTATATTCTGTAATCTATATTGGACCGATGTGCACGCGCATTGATGGTGCGCTAGGGCAATCAGACCATCCCCCATCTCAAACCACCTGACCGGGGAGGGAGGGGGGGAAGATGGTACTGGTACTGGTACTTGGTGGTTGTATCAGCATGATTGAAAGCCAAGCTGATGTGTCACATTGGGATAATTATTTTCTTGGGGGGTCGAGCTGCACAAACATTGGTTTGGGTCGTGCTTGGTTGCTGGAAGCGCAGATGTGATGGGGGACGCGTTGGTCTATGCATCACATGTGGATGTGAGGCGTCGGGGACGGGAAGAGCAAGACGAGACCCGACACTGGGACCATCTCCCTGCATATGGATCTGAAGAAATGCGCTGCTGCTTGATACATATGACGTATGTCACTGAAGGGGTCGGGAGCCGATCTTTCATGGATCTATCTAGGCAACGAAGTAGTATTGAAGTACCCATGAAGGTCATTGGAGGTCTGCCAACTTCGAGGCATCCGCACTGCGTTGCTTTGCTTTGTGTTTGTGAGGTGTTTGGCGGTGTTAAGGTTATATTAGACGGTGATATAGTGTGTGTGCTGTACAGAAAAACAATGAAGGCTAAACAAACATCTTTATAGGCAAACAATTATACAAAGTAAGGCGAACAATGATCTTTGTCTCTCGTATCGCGATCTGCTGAGACAGTCAGATCCGCGAGTCGAAACACGCAAGCTGTCAAACTTGGCGATGGTGGGTATGCATCTCCCTCTAGATTATGCGTGTCTTCATTGGTGCAGACCCTCGTACTTCATGTTGGTACATATGTGCCTGCCGCACCATTAACCTTCTCCATTAATGTCCCTTTCTGATTCTCGGGACTGTACCGCTCCAGCGCTTCGAAGACATGGCTGAATACCAATTGGTCCACATCACGCGCCCACAAGAAGTCTAAATGCTCATACTGCGGGATTTCCTTCGCCACGGTCCCGCGGGGAAGCTCGGACAACATCACGTTGATATCAACGAGACTATCGCTACCGCCATACAACAGGACAATAGGCGTCTTGATGTTCTTAGTCGGGTACTTGACCGGCTTGTAAAATCGCTCACTCGCAACAATACTGAGCGGGGCATGGATTTCGTCATCGTAGAACTGGAAATTCCGGTGTCGAATAATCTGGAACCAATGGACGACCGACTTGGTGCTAGTGAAGGAAAACAGATGCAGGTACCCTGCCAGCTTCTGCCAGCGGCTGATGTTCTTGCACCTCCAATTGAACAGGCCGCGAAGTGACGTGTCAATGATCCGAACAAAGATAGGTGGGTAGAGAATCGTCTGCCACATCGTCGTCGAGCTAAGGATGCTGCGTCTGCCAAACAGCAGAAACAGGAAGTTCGGCGAAGCTTTCATGAGCGAATCTACGAGATGATTGGGGAGGCCTGTTGGGGCCATTGCCGGCGCCAGAGCCACAAAGACATCGATCTTCTGGTTCAACAGAGGATGAATGGACAACGTCGCAAATGCCTGCGCCGTTCCCTGCGAGAATCCCACGTATGACAGGGAGGGCTGCCCTGTCACTTCCAAAATATACTTGATGCTGTCTGGGATATCATGGAACGAGAACTGATCGATCGAAAAGTCCCAGAACTCGTTCGACAGGGGAGAATGTTTGACGGACTTCTTCGAGTACTTGTTTCCTCTGTTATTCCCCAACCACACGTCATAGCCCCTTTCGACCAATTGAAACGGAAGACATCGCTGCTCCTCCGAAAGACAGACCCAGACTTCACTGCACATCATGAGACCATGGTGGAGATAGACGACTTTCTTCCTGATGCTCCCTTCACCCTGGTTGACTTTCCTTCCCTCCTCGCCCTTCCGATAGGGCAGTCTGTGCAGACCAAGCAGATAGCCATCCCCTGTCTGGACAATATGTTCCTCTGCTTCATATCCAAACAGCGCGCATATATCCGTGAAGTCCGACGCCAGAGCAACCGACGCAGCAACCTTCTCTTCCTTGCCGCGTTTGGCCGGGTCATCTGGAGGAATAAAAGCGTTGAAGATATTCTTGGATCGATCGTAACAGAACCTAATGATAGATTCAGCTGCGCCAGTTAGCCCTTACCCCTTTACACCACCACCCCAAGAAATGAACACACTACTTACGCAGACAAAACGTGATAATATGTATAACCCATTCCAGCAACACCAGAATCAACGACCCAAACAGAGCCAAATATTCGAACCAAAACAGCCGTCCAATGACCGGAACGCGCGCCATGACGATAAGCCCAAACCTCCTATTATCATAAAAGGGATGGACAGTCTGCAAATCAATCACGTAGATTATTATCACCGGTAGTAGTGGTAGTAGTAATAAACCATAATGCGCCGAAGCAATTCTTCCATAAACTCAGACCGCATGACTATGGGAAGAAGAAAGATAGGATAAATCAAGCGGAACGAGGCAAGCAACCTAAGTCAGGTTCCACAGGCCCCCAGACGTCATGGGGGCCCCTTCTTCTTCTTCATGTGATGGCTTACCTAATCCGGGGCAACGCCCGTTTGGTTTGAGTTTGTTTTCCGATTTCAGCAAATTATCTCCAGATTGGCCGTCGTCGCCGCCGCCGCAGACCGGTGTTGTTCCTAACTTGTTATTATTTGGCTGAGCAATTCGGGCCTTGCCTATATTGTTCGCCCAAAATGCCGAGTTCCTGCCAAGAGATCAGTATGTTGGATTCTTTTTTTTATCCTTTGCCAGATTCCGCGAATTGCGGCTTGGATGTTCGGAAACGTATCCACGACCGGATATTACTACCACATTGTCGTCCCTCCTCCTCCCAACTTCAGCTATATTTCCCGGTACACAGACACCCTCTAACCATTCTTTTCATAATAAATAGGAAACGCTCTGGCGCAATGTCTCCAAGAATCAGACTGCATCATGGTGCAACGGCGCTCGCCCCGCGAATGTCTGAGTGAGCCGTACGTTGACGAACTTCCTATGCGATGCCAGCAATTGCGGAAGGGATTCAGCGAGTGCAAGTGAGTCATTACCAAATGGCATCCTCAAAGCTTTCCCTACAGTCAGTTGACAATATGCCTCATTTTCAGGCGCGGCCTAATCGATATGCGCAAGCGGTTCCGCGGAAACCAGCCTATCTCGGTATCAACGACGGAAGGCGGCGGCTCCAGCACGTCCCAACAACTATATGCAGGCAAGCCGGCGTTTGAGACGGTCAAGGAGATTAGTGGTGATGAGGTGCAGATGGATCCGGAGAAGACTCGTGGTCTGTGAGGGGGAGGGGGTTTAGTTATATTCTGGTGTTGTGTGGGTGACACAGACTGGTTTTCCCTTGCGCGCTGTAACATCACGTTCTCTGTGGTTTTGTTGTATTCGCTGGCATTTGGCTTGGAGTTTGGTTGATTGACTGTTGGGACTACTTCGCTCATGTGCCCGTGCCCTGATAGTGTGTATGATTGTCGGGTTACGGGTATTCCTTTCTTTCATGCTATACTACTAGATTGTACATATGCAATGGATGGGTCTGTCTGTACGCAGACTGACTTGGGCATTTCTACGATTCGGGTCGTCCTTTCTTAAGACGTGCATTGTGCAGCAGATTTCATTTACTGATCTTTCAGATGATACATTACTTTACTGGGTCTTCTTGACCTTGGCCGAGGCGGGCTCCGAGTAGAGCCACACGAACACAAAGGCCAGGAACCCGCCGATCACAGACCACAGGCCGGCGATCCAGACCCATCCTCCGCTGATCTTCCAGCTGCGGGGGTACTCGTTGTGGGCGAAGTGACGGACAGTCACCTCGTGCTTTTCCTCGATGTTGGTGAGGAAGGGGCGCTTGTAGTTGACCCGGAAGGAGAAGATACCGTGCTGGTCAGGGACGGTAAACTGCGTGCTGTAGATGGTACTGTTCTCGGTGCGGGCGGTGGGCTCCAGCTTCAGGCGGTGGAAGGGGGAGAGCATGGTGAACTCGAGCTGCAGGGCATCGTTGGCGGGCACCTCGAAGGGGATGTACCGGTCGTGGCTGTACTCGGAGATCTCAATGCTGAAAACCTATAGGGACACGTCAGCAGGGGTTGGCGGTTATGTTGCGGACTGTTTAGTAGGCACATACGGTCTCGTTCTTGATGCGGTAGATGGTGGGGTTCAGGTCCTCAGCAGTAAGGTCGTCCTTAGCCAGGTGGTGCTCGATCTTGCCAACCTTGAGGACACCGGTCTCCTTGAAGGTCCAGGCAGTCAACTGCTTGGCGAAGTCCTGGTTGGCCGTGCCGGTCTCCTTTCCGTTGGGCGCCTTGACGGTCGCGGAGAACCACTTGTCCTGGAGACTCTCGACGGAGCCGAGCAGGGTGAAGCGAGAGGAGGCACGGGTCTGCATGGCGGAGACGAGAGCCAGCTGGGAGCCGGTAGCCCAGACATCCTCTCCCGCGGACAGGTCTTCCTTGGGGTTGTAGCTGTAGGCAGTCGCAGGAGCGCGCAGGATAGGCGCAATGAGCGCGTGGTCGCCGAGAGTGTGAGGAGCGGCCCTAGGCAAAGCAAGGACACCCTCTCCGTCGAAGAAAGCCTTGGTATCGGGTCTCAATGGGCCGGGGCGCTGGAGGAGAAGGACATCGTGCTTTTCGGCCGCGGACAGGGTGTCGTAGTTGAAGTGGTCGACAACGACAGACGAACGGTCGGTAGCGAGGTGAAGATCGAATTCCAGAAGCAGCGAGCTGACGGCGCTGGGAGTAGTGGACTTGCCCGAGAGCGCAAGGAGGACGTTACCGTCCTTGTTCATAAAGTCGACGATGTTCTTGGGGCTCAAAGAAGGTCCAAATCCTGATCACTCGGTCAATTGTGTGTCCCTGTAGCATAGTATCCGAATCCAAAGTCGCCGCTAACCTTTGGACCTAGGAGGCAGGAGAAGAAGGTGGTCGTAAGCCCTCTCGCCCAGGTCGAAGAGGGAGAGCTTGTCACTCTTGGGAGATTCGAAGACGAGGTCATATCCACGAGCTATTGCATATATCAGCACAACGCCAATTCCACTCAATCATTAATTCTGCCCTGCAGATACATACCCTCTAAATCACTCCAGAAAGTAGAGTAAAGATCCTTCTCCGATCCATCCTCCAAAACAACGAGCAGACGGTTCCCTGAACTACTGAGCGCATGTACAACAGCCAAGAAGCCAAACAGAAAGAGGGAGGAAAGAGACCACCGCATATTGAGTGGCTAATTTTCCGCACAGCGGAGGGAACAAACTAGGAAACAAAATATCCCGACGAGCGAACCACAAAAGAATGATGGTTTTGTCGTTCGATGAGAGGTCGTCAAAAAGAAAGAAGTACGTAGTAGATACATACGTAGACACACACCCCAAACGGGCGACGTGTTTGGACCGAACGCCAAGACCCGGCAAATCCACTTTTGGCGGCTTTCGTCACCTTCAATCAACCTCCATCGATTCGTTTCCCCTCGCCCGCGTCGCAATCCCCGACTTCAATTGCCCTACCTCTCCGCAGGTTCAATCAATCCCCGGTCTTAATTGCCCATAGAGGATTCCATCCACAGATCGAACATTCTCACCTCCAACACCGGTTTTTGATCACCGCCGAAACACCCGAACACCTCCGCAACGAACAAGAAAATCCTTAACAATGTCGACGCCTCAGTTCTGGTCTACGCCTCTCCGCTACCTCCGCTGGGCTTCTCACGAACGTCCCGCCATCTTCTACTCCCTCATTATCGGCTCGATGGGCCCCGTTGCTCTCGTCGGTTTGCCCCCGCTTAGACGTGCCTTGGGTGACGTTGACCCCGAGACTATCCCTATGTCTTATCCTAGTATGTTGCACCCCCGCTTCCATTCACGATTCTTCAATCGGGCCCCTGCTTGTCTTGGAAAGTTAGTAGTGTATACTGACATGCTCGCGCCTTGCGATTGATAGTCCCCGCCGGTCCCCGCACATTCCCGAAGGGTTACGATGACGAGTAAATTCACCTTAACCTCGGATATAGCGATATGGAAAGGATAGGATGGACGGACCGATGGCGAGGACCGACAACTAGCTCTGCATTGAATTATGGGCAACGTGCGACTCCGGCGCGGATAGAATAGAAGGAAAGGGAGGACGTTCAATCAACGAGCAAGTATCGGCGGGCCCCTCGCTTTGTCCGGAGGTAGCCTTGATCTGGGTATTTGGGTATCTATTTTCCTACGTGTGCATGTGCACTTCGCCGTCTTCCTGTCGGGCATGTTTATACCCTTGTGCTCTTTGGCAGGGAGGGGTGAGGTGCTGTGGGTGGGGTATAAGATGTGTGTGTGTATTTATTGTATGTGAAAATGGTTACAGAGCGGAGTTCATAATTTTATCTTTTTTTTATTCATTTCTGATTTGTGTTTGTGCTGGTATCATGAGTGTGGGTTTTGTGGTAAGAGGTATGACCATGAAGTAGATGCGTTATGGCCGGTGGAATACTGTGCTGAAAGAACCATTACTGCGCCGTAAGGGACCATTGAACTTGTTGTACAGGAGAATAGACAATGACCCCCAAATCAAGAAACCGAGACATGAAAATGAACAAGGTAGATCAGACTGAAGATTGAAAACAAGACTCCGAATATGAGGAACCTAGACATGATAACGAACATAGTAAAACAGAGGAGAATGAGAATGAAAAAGAAGTAGTAGACAACGGAAAATCCGAAGCAAAGACTTAGAATACATACTGCTGTGAACGAACAGCACAGCCAAACTCTCAGCCATCGTGCTGAGTATTATGTCCGTGGCCTTCAACATTGCCATTAAGAGACATGAAGACAGGGCTCGCATCATTCACTAGGTCAATGTCTCCTCCACTGAAAATCTGGGCATCTGTGTGTATAGACTCATCGAAAGCTAGGATCACTGGGTTCTCGGTGTCTGTTCGCGCAGTTGACCCGTCCTCTTCATCCCAGTGAGGTGGGCTGATGAAGCTGCTCTGAGAGTCATCCGATGACAAGTCAGGCTCATGGACAGCGTAGGTCAGCTCACTCCGGGACTGACTAGAGCTGTAATCAGGGGACCTTTCCAGTGATTGGGCGTAGGGAGACACAAAACGCCGAGTACCTATCTGAGGATTGTTCTCCGGCAAAGGGTTCTCGACAACTATCTGGGGCATGCGAGGTGTGTGGATTTGACGTGTCTCCGTTTGAATATTGTCCCTGTACATTAGGGGCAAAGCAGGGTTCACGGTATGCATAAGAGCTACATCGTCCTGTGCAGCCCTACCTGCCAGCCAAGGGATGCCATGCTGATTGACTTCGCAACATGTCAAATAGTGTAAATCGCCCCATACTAAGGGGTTGAACCGCGATCTGTTGCGCAGTAGGTTATCAACCAGATGTTTTACAGAATTCTTCAAGACATTCAGGCGGTTTTCGACAATTGTAATCTCGTCTTGTCGAATGGGCAGTAAGATGAGGTTGGTCTCGGGATCGAGCACCGGAAGATA